ATAATATAAACACGTACGCGTATATATATATATATAAAAAAAGAAGAAGAAAAAAAAGGAAAAGAAAAAAAAACTCTTATTACACTTTTACGATCGCTGCGTACTACTATACTATTAAATTATTACTATTACTATACTACTACTGCTGCGTTTTACAAAACGTCGTTGTTATTTAAACGAATCGTCGAATACGATACGCGGAAAGACGAAATGTTTTCTGTTTTATGTGCGATCTTCGTGGGATGGGGGGGGGGGAGGGAGCGGATATTAGATAATGAATTGTCGAGATTCGAATGAAACGAAATGCGCGCGCGAGTTTCTCTTGAAAAAAAAAAAAAAAACACATATGCCAATGAATTTAATTAGATGTGTCTCTACACCTCTTCGAATAACAAAAAAATTACATGTTTTTGATTCACCATAAGAGTTCATCGTTAACAAAGTGCACATATTGTCTCGTAGTAATCGTAGATGATATTTAACAAGAAAAAAAGAGGGATGAAGGAAAAGAACAACAACAATAACAACAACAATAACAACAACAACAACAACAAAATACATCCGATTCAATTAAAGACAAAACTAGTGGGATATGGGGGTGGGGTTGGTTGTGTGGCAGGCAAACAAAATATGATTTAACAATATTAATAATAATAAAAAGATAAAGAAGTAGAGGAAGAAGAATATGTTCACTCGAGTACATTTGTTATTATCAATATTTTATCTTAATTATTATCTTTTTTTCCATTTTCTTTGTTTTTTTTTCTTCTTCTTCTTCTTTTTATTTCTTATTATTTTAATTCATTCGCGCATCGGCCAAAATACACGACAAATCTTGATATTCAATAAGCCATATTTTTTATATCCATATATATATATATCTATATAAATGTATATTTTTTTTATTTTAAGAACGTGGTACAAGTTCGAGACTACCTGATTGTTATTTCATATATGTATATATATTTTGTTTTTATTGTTTTTTGTTGATTTTTTTTATTCTTATGACTAGATTATCAAACACACATACACACACACATACACAGGATACACGCGTTGTTTAACACGTAAGAAATATATAAATATATATATAAATATATTTGACTCGCACTGATATACGATGAATCAAATTCGGTGCGTTTAAACGAGAGAGAAAGGGGTGAAGTGGGAGAATAATATAATAAAATAATAATAATAATTAAAAATGTGTGAATTTTACAAACTTGTTCTCAAATTATCGAAAGAAATGTCATTTTATCCTTTTAAATGATGCACCTGTTAATTCTCTATTCGTGTGTGTATGATGTGTATGCATTGTGTGTGTATGTATGTATGTATGTGTGCGTGTAAATTTTTTCGAAAGAGAGGAAAGTATAAGCGACGAGATAAAAAAACAGTCAATAGTCCTTATTACAAATAAAAATAAAAAAAATAAATAAATAAATAAAAAAGAGAGAAAATAAAAAGCAACATAATACTTATAGGAATTAAGATTAATATGTAATACACATAGTAACGCGTCGCGGAAAAAAAAAACAAGAAACATTTCTTTTAATTATGCTTCCTATCTTTCTCACTTTATCTATCTCTCTCTCTCTCTCTCTCTCTTTCTTTCTTTTTCTCCGATCACTTAATTAATACACCACGAATTGTACGTTCAAATGTTTACTCTCTTGCACAAATGATTAAAAATGTGTATTAAAGAAAAAAAAAAGAAAAAGAAAAAAAAAAAATACGAAGAAGAAAAAGAAGAAACTAAATTATCACAATTATAAGAAAATTGAAAAGTACGAAGGTGAAATTAGATACATGTCGTTGGAACGATTTGTGCAATCTAAACTCGTACTGATAATCGTAACTGCAATGTTTAAAAAAAGAAAATAAAGAAGAAGATAAATGATGAAGAAAATAAAAGGAAATTATTTGAACAAGGAGTTATATATATAGAAAATTGTTTAATAATTACAAGAGAATGAACAAAATGTCTACTTTATTGATCTACCAATCGTTCGAAAAAGGGATTTGCTGTTATAGTATATGAAGGATTTATAAAGAATACTAATCTGATCTCTCAAACGTTTACCCCACCCCCCCCCATACACAGCCCCACTCACTCACTTTGTGATTTTTCCGATGCAAATGTATTTTATATTGGATACGTGCATCGCAGAGAGGAACAGAGTTAAGAGCCTACATACATTAATAAATAAATAAATAAATAAATAATTAATTAATAATAATAATAATATTGTATATCCGTATATTTCTAAGCTGACATTATCTTCTTATCGTTCTCATCTACCTCTTAATAAACGTGTTTTGAAAAAAATCGTATTTAAACAAAAAATAATTATTTCGAAAGAAAGAAAGAGAAAAGAAAAGAAAGAAAGAAAGAAAGAAAGAAAGAAAGAAAGAAAGAAAGAAAGAGAAAAAAAGGAAAAATGAAAAAAAAAAAAAAAGGAAAGAAAATAATAACAAAATAAAGATGTGAAAAAACTCGACTAGAAAAATATAATAAATAAATAAATAAAAAGAAGAGGGTGGGATATCGCTCAGCGCAAAATTACTCTGCGAAATGAAAATGTGTGAAAACTTTTAGCTGACATATATATATATATATATAAACCACGATCCCCATTTTACCTTTATCGTTTTTTTTACATTTTATTATCACACATTCACACACACACACCCACGCACGCACACACACACACACAACCAACGAAACATTCTCGAGAGCGAAACGCGGAAAGTATATTCGATTAATTAAAAACCATACAATGCCAGCTCGATTGAAAATTATTATTCACGTCGGAGTATATATAGAAAAAGAAAAAACTTTTTGAAATAAAAAAAGAAAACGAAAATAAAAGCAAAAAAAAAAAAGAAACAAAAAAAAATAAATAAAAAAAGAAAAGAAAAATACAAGCCAATACGAAAGCAATACGAATGGAACAATTTTCAAAGTGCGCTGCATCGTATAACCCATAATGATCATTTAAAATATATAGAGAGCTGGTATTATTATTAGATGAAGAAAATTAATAATTAAAAATACACACTGCGTATATATATATATATAATAATAATGAAAAATTATAATTGTAATTATTATTATTATTATTTTTATGATCATCATCGACCCTGTATCTTTTTACGATATTTCGCAATATTATGTAATTTCTAATTTGATTACCACGTTATTTATACATATATATATATATATATATATACTTAAAATCGTTGCATATATATATTTTATGTGTATACTTATCTCTACTTGATAGGCATTGGCGCATTGCATAGTTTATACAAAACATGTTGAATGTGAAAAAAAGTTTATTGTGTGAAAATGAAAAAGAAAAGAAAAGAAGAAGATAAAACTTGTTTCTTCTCGTATATAAGTTGCCCTAAAACACACACGTTTGTACATATAATAAAAATAGATAGATAGAGAAAAAGATAAAAGGGGAAAAAAAGAAAGAAAACAAAATGAACAAGGAAACACGAAAGAGAGAGAGAGAGAGAGAGAGAGAGTGAGAGAAAAGGAAACAAAAATTAAAGTCAAGAAAAAAAAATCTTTTTCCATCTAGATGAAAAATTAAACCGTAATAATAATTAGCGGCAATTACGCTGCTGCCATTTTAATATTTTATTATGTCGTAATTATACTTTCTCGAAATGCACAATTATCAAATATTATGTATTGAAACACACTTACACACGCGTACATCCTCCTATTGACACTCGCGCGCACACTCTACTACTACTACTACTACTACACTCGCCATAAATATATTTCAGAACACAAACACACACACACACAGAGTAAATATATATATATATATACACATACGCGACTACGAACAAATGTAATAAAAAAGAAAAAGAAAAAGATAAAAAACGAAACTGCAGGCTTAGCATTTGACCGGGGTTGAGGAGGGGAGAAGAGGGTGGGGGGTAGTTGCAGGCATCATAATACGGGGAAAGGATGTTATATGTTAAAGCATTTTGTTGCATTTCGTTGCAAACAATGTGCAGTCCGATTGAAAATCACCTTTAGGCTGTGAGATGCGAGCTAAGCAGCGGATTTAACTTTGCTCGATGAAAACCTCAATCATATGTGTCAAATCTTCTCCAAGTAAAAAAAAAGTCTACTTTTAACCGATCAAAAAAAAAAAAAAGAAAGAAAAAGAAAAGAAAAAAAATAAATTATAATAATAATCGATTTATATATAGATTCTCCCTATCTCTCCCAACACACACACACACACATTGATCATTCGAGAAAAAAAAGTAAGAAAAATAAGATAGAGAAGACGTAATGTGTTTCCTTTGTTTTCTCGAATCAAGATTAAATATAATACTTTTCTCACACACAAACTATGTGTCGAATTTTTCAATATTATGAAATAAAAATGATTTGTCAAATCCCATATATATGGAAACGAAACACCGTTTATATAGCATACTTAAAAAAAAAAAAAAAAAAACTAAATAAGTAAATAAAAAAAAAGAGTATTATAGCACGCGTGTGCGTGTATATACATATGCACTTGTGTATGTATAAAAAAAAAAAAAAAAAAAAAACTAAATAAGTAAATAAAAAAAAGGAGTATTATAGCACGCGTGTGCGTGTATATACATATGCACTTGTGTATGTATATTAAGAAATATACATATATATATATATATACATACATGCGGGGGTGCACACGGGTCACGTGACGCGTACGACGACGTATGTGTGCGTTTGTGCTAGCGCGAGTGCGTGTGTGTGTGTGCATATATAAATATAAAACAATACAAAACAAAACAAACCAAAAAAAAAAAATGAAGAAAAGAAAACAAACAAAAATAATAATATATTTGTAGATATATTACAAAAAGTCTTTTAGTCATCGGAATAGTATATAGAGTCAATAATGCGAAAACTAATTTACCTATTACTTATATACCCTTTTAGATTCTAGGTATATCGACTAATTGTGATTAAATTTATGGAAGATGAAGTATGTGATTGAAAAAAAGCGTATACTGCGATATAAAAAATCCACTGAATAAATAAATAAATAAATAAACAAATAAATAAATAAATAAATAATATATCAGAGATTTAAGTCTACATAAATGTGATTTTGATAATTTGATAATGCGGTTTTCTAATATATATGTTACCATCAAAGCCGGAAATCAGTCATTGAAAAGTTTTGGTAAATATTTTTTATTCTAAAAGTAAATAGAGATTTTAATGAAACTTATATTAAATTAAAGTACACTCTTTTGTCTACGCGAAAAATACCATATCGAGTTATAAATTTAGTATGTAATGTTCAGAAAATGTCAGAAAATGCAATGCTGTAAATTGTGCATCCTTGCAATTTCATTGAAAAGTTTTAGTAAGTATTTTTTATACTAAAAGTGAATAGATTTTAATGATTTTTATATTAAATTAAAGTACACTCTTTTATCTACGCGTAGAACACCATAACGAGTTATAAAACAATCTGAAAAGGTTCATAAAATGGCAAAGAATGCGATGATGCAAATTTTTTCTACTTTGCCATTTCTTTAAAAAGTTTCGGCAAATATTTTATTCACTTTTAGTATAAAAAATATTTACCAAAACTTTTCAAAGAAATTGCAAAGATACACAATTTACAGCATTGCAATCTCTGATATTGTGTGATTGTATGGCTGCATGTATCTGTGCCCGATAATGTATTCTTTTCAACGTTGTTTAAATAGTAATTTGATATTCTATAGAATATCAAAGTATTATGTTCGATGCCTAGGAAAAAGTGGAAGAATTTTTCAATTTCCGACTTCGTCTGAAGGCTGTTTGCATTTATAGTAATGCCGAGGAATTACTTGCAATGACTAATTTCCGGCTTTGACGGTAACATATATATAATAATCGCGTTTGATAATTTCGTTTATCTATTTTTTTTTGTTTACTTTTTTTAAACCCTTTTGTTATTGAGACATTCATTTTGTTGTTAAGTGAGTATATTTTTTTCTATGTCAATTTTTCAGTCAACGCGATATTTCAGACAAATCGGAAAATAAATTATCGACAAATTAACAAAGCTCGCAACACGGAGAATATATAAATAATCAAAATTTCATTAAAAGATTAAAATATCGGTGAGTAAGATGTAGAAAAACAAAATGGGTTAGTAAAATCCATACATTTATCAGTCATCATCGTGTTATGTATTTCGACGAAGAGAATAATATAACGCAGCTATTTCGTTTTTTGTTGAAATAAAAACTGTAAAGAAGGGTTGAAAATGTTTTACGAAACAAAAAAAATCGAATGCGATTTAAGAAGGAAAGTAAATGACGTTTAGACGCTATTTTACGAATAAAATGACAATGGTTTTTTTTCTTATATATTTACAATTATTTTTCTTTTTTTTCCTCTTTCTTTCTTTCTTTCTTTCTTTTATATCTTGTACATCGACGAATAGCATTTTTGTGTTTTAAGTCTCTTAACGCGCTAGTTTTACAGTCTATAAATTTCTAAAAATGCCATCATAATACGATGCGAGTATTATTTACTAATAATATGAATTTATACTAGAACTAGATAACAAGCGACAATTGTCTCAAAATCTCTCATTGTCAATCGTATGTAATACCGATTTTGACTAATTGGAAGAAGAAATCTTGTTTGCATTCAACCTGACACATCTCTGTTACCAAGCATCATCATCATCATCATCATCATCATCATTATTATTAATTATCATCGACTATGTGATAGCAATGACAATAACAACAGCAGCAATCATTATAATATCGAATGAGACTACAATGATGTTCGGATGTTCTCGCGTGAACAATAATAGTGGATTAATAATCATGAAAGAAAGAACCATGATTCGTTTCTATCAATTATCATTTCAAGATTATAGTAATATCACAGAGTAGGTTTTTCGTCAGCTGGTTCTTCTTTTATTGGATGACCGCATTCCATCAATGCAGGATTCGCAACAGCGATTATGTTATCCCCGCGAGATGCTATTACCTATAAAAAGTTTATTTTATTTTTATTCATTTATATATAAATATGATTATTTTGGCGAGAAGAGAACTTAATGTTAAGATATTTAAAAAAAAAAACAAATCATAACGTTCATTTCAGGATTTTTATATTCACTTTTAAATTGAAATCGTTTTCCTTGTCCGTATTTTCCGTTTCTGCGTCTATGGTGTCCTGAAATACGATACGAAATGACTGTTATTAGCGAGTTAGTATAATTATTCCGTTTAATCGATGAACTTACATGCATTGACGATGATTCTTCGTTTGAGAATGAAAATTGACTATCCGAATCGCTGATTTCCTCGACGTTACTACCAAATACTCCGTTATTACTCTTCTTCCTCCAAACTGGACTGGAACATTGCGAATATCTGAACATCAATGCGTACTCGTACTTGTTGCATGACAATTATAAATTTTAATGAATATTGACATATATATCGCGAGCCCAGCAAACAGGTATTTATCTAAATTTTTAATCAAACTTTCCTGATACATGTGAATAATAATAATGAAAATATTATTTACACATAGAGAACACAGTGATAAAACATTGAATTTTTCTTTATCTTTTAATCTTTTGTCGTTAACATTTTTGTAAAATAATTTAATCCTTTCGTTACTAACGATGCAAAGGTATCGTATGAACGATTTAATATTAAAATCGTGCAACGATAACGAATTTATATGGAACAATATTCGTACCAATGCTATGCCGTAACGAAACGATTAAAAATTATGATTATTCGCTGAGCTCGATATATTTATTCAGTCATTTTTTTCATCGTATGAAAAAATCATTTGGAATGAGCATCGAAAGTAATCACCTCGACGAGCCATGTCTTCTAATGCCAGCGTTATTAACTTCGTTGACGGAACATCGTAGATCCAATTCTTCCTGAAAAGCAGAACTGCTGTAGACGGTAAAAGCAACGAAGAAGAGTAGACAACAAAAAAAAAAAGAAACAAAATTATCATTTCGGGTGGCAACGTTACGAAAAACTAAACGAATGCCCCTTTAGAAAATCCTAAGAAAAACTAGAAAACAAAAAAATAAGATAAGAAAAAACGACTCGCTGAGAAACCAGGCGCGAAGCGTGAAATCTAAGCGAGTCGCGATCGATTTTTTTCATCCCGATCAATTACATGCATAGAAATTGTCGAAGGAAAAAAAAACAAATTCGAGAAACCAACACTGATTGTTAATTATATATTCAAAGTTTTATAACCGCAGATCAAATCAATGCTCGTCGAACCGAGACTTTATCAATTTCACGATATCAAATCGAAATGTCTTTTTTTTTTGGTCAAACGATTTATAATCGATATCCTATTGTTCGACGAGATAATCAGAAAATTAATACAAATGTTAGGACGCGATTCTTTCTGAAAAATAAGAAAAATGGCGCCATGAAAGGGAACGCAAGTGGTGCCACCACTTTCGATAGCGGCAATTTTAGAAAAATACAACAAACTCACTTTCTTTCAGATGTGTCAAACTAATTTAAGAACTTTAATTAAACACCGGCAACAAATTGTGCATGCAACCATTTGAAAAGCATTACGAAAGAGAAAAAAGAGAATAGTGGTAATTAATTTGTTTTTTCTTTTTTTTTTTTTTTTAATTGCAAATGGAAATAGAAGGTGCAATTCGAAACATGGAAAGCGTGCACAAACAACAAACAGATAAAGTATTACGTGCGTTTTAAACATGACACGTGCGCTTCGGCAACGACTACATATATACTTGACCTTTTCCATCCGTATCTCGAGTTAACGAAAGCAGGATGGAGCTAAATGACGCGAGACGAGGAGTAGTAGTAGTGGGTGTTGCTGCGTGTGCGTGTTGCGTGTACGTGCTGAATTTACGGTTAGTAGTAGTTAGCGCGAGTAGACCATGCGAACGTGGCCAGGTCAGCAAGAGAATGATTAGCGTGATTTAGTTTTTTGGACAGGCCGAGCTAACCTGCATCGCGTCCTCGGCCTCACCCTCGAGTTCGAGCTTTCTTCGTTTTCCTCGCTCTAACTCGTTCTCCTCGCCGTTTTCTCGTTGCCTCGTCGAGGACATTGACAAACTGCAAGGTATAACAATCAAATTCAAATATATATATCAATATACAATGATTTTGTTCAAATAAATAGAATATTTTGTTATTAAATCTTATTATTTAAACTTACTATTGACTTTTAACATAATGATAACCGGAATCTCGAACTACTCGACGGGCCAATGGAAATAGTTCGTCCCTCCTAGTCAAAAGTGCCGGGACGAACCTGCATATCTGTGCGGCAGCCTCGTTCACGCAGATCTCGTGTAACGTCAACGGTTTCTCTGGTTTTCTTTTACAATCGAACCTACCATAAATTGCTGCGTACTTTCTAATCTCTTCCATTCTACGAGGATCATTATCGGGCATGGCCATGACCAGCTGGTAATAAGATGCACACAACGTAAATGTAATTATTCAAATAATTAATCCCGAAGACAAATTGATCAATTACAAACTAAACGCATACTCACTTCGAGATTTTTACAAAATTTCTTTTTAACGTTATGAGGTTTAGGATCGACCGGTCTGATCGTAGCAGCGAGTCTTTCGGCAGCTTCGGCAAGCCGTTGTATTTGGGAATGTAATAAAGTAGGTGTTAATTGTGTAGGACTAGCAGGTGCACAGGTGCCACTAGGACTTGGGGTAGTTCCGCTACCGCAGGAAGATTCACAGGTGCCAACTTGAAGTACACCAGGACTGTGGGAAGTCGGTGGTACATAGGATGCAGCAACTGGTAATATCGAGGAACCGGGACTCGGAGTTTGCCTATAAGTCGTAGAACCAGCCGATGCTGCTACGCTAGTAACCGAAACAATAGGACTGATGCTACGACATGGAAGCATGGTTGAGGTGGTCGTAACAGTAGTCGATGCTGTCGTTGAGAAAACAGCGACTTGTGGTACTTGTGGCACTTGTGGAACTTGTACTTGTGCTCGAGGACTGGCACAAGGGAAACCAACGACCGCTGGTGGATTTTTACATGTCCCAGTGGTTGTTGGTACAACTGGTGTTTGAAATAGAGCTAAAACATCCGAGAAAAAACATTCTAAACAAATCCATATGAATGTATTATCGTGATTACATGAAATAAATAAATATTGTATCCTAATAATTATTCTCTCGGAGATGTAAAAGAAAAAGAAGAAAAAGAAACAAGAGGAGGAATGAAGAGACAGATAAAGAAAGAAAGAAAGAAAGAAAGAAAGAGACGATACTTTACAGGGATTGGTGAGCCACTCCTGTAGAGCCTTCTGAAGTCTTCGTACGTGAAGAGGTTTGCTGGCCATGCCGACCAATGCCATAATTTCAAGGAACTCTTCTTCCCCAGCATCGCACAATTGTTGAACGTCGTCCCCGCCTATAATAAAACGAGAATAGACAAATTTATCGATTGAATTGTTTATATCGACACCTACGAAAAACAAATTCACTCCTACCTACCCATTTCCAGAAGAGTATCGTAATATCCGAGTAACGAAGCACGCTGCATAACTCGGTATAACTGCAATTCTGCTTCGTTTTGTGGGACTGACGTTTGTACGACTGTAAAAATATAAGATCGTTGATAAATGAAAAAGGAAGAAGAAATAAAAAATAAAAAGAAGAAGAAGGAGGAGGAGGAGGAGGAGGAAAGAATTCTTTTGATAAGAAGTTTGGCAACGAAACGATCAACGTCACGTGCTTCTAATTAACGTGATTCGCGTAATTAATCAAAGACAATTAATATTCTCTCGAAAGAATTGTAAAGAAGAAGAAGAAGAAGAAGTAAAAGAAGAAGAAGTAGAAAAGAAGTAGAATAAGAAGAATAATAATAATAATAAGAAAGAAAGAAAGTATGATAAAAAGTAGATGATATTAAATCAGTAGCTGAGATCGTACGATCCACGCGAGCCGAAAGGAAGGATCGAAGATTCCCCGATCGTTGTGGTTCTTCGGGACTCGGGACTAGTTTCTTGCAAATTTCGTGGAATCGCGAGAAAAAGCCGCGTGCACACACGTACGGCGTATAAATTAATACCGGGAGCGAGCAAGCAAGCGAGCAAGCAAGCAAGCATAGGGGCCCCGAAGAGGGACACGGGGTGCTGGTGGGGAGAGGAAGCAAAGGGGAGACCCGAAAAAACTGGCCGACGGTCTTATTACGAGAGGCCGGGCCCGCCGGTCTCACGCTTATACGTCGTTGGGACCCTAGGCAACCGAGTAAGAGAGAAAGAATGAAAGAAACAGAGAGAGGGAGAGAGAGAGAGAGATGAAACTCATGTCAGAGGCATTGGTGGTACGTAGGGTGACTCGTTCCGCGAGATTTTTCTGACGCGTGGACGCAACCGCACCGCACTGCACCGCACTGCACCGCATTGCTTGCAACCGATCTAACCGAGAAAGAATGAGAAAGTGATATATCATGCGGGGGTGCTGTCTCCCCCTCTCGTTAATCAATTGTTAAACTAATCTATATTACAACTAGAGGGAAACTTTCGTATTTAATATATTATTTATTTGTTGAGTATTATTGTTACTTAAGATATTTTATTTTTATTATATTTTTTTCTGTTCTAACGTTAAACTGGTTAGATTTTTGTCGAAATAATTTATTATTAATTTTATCAAGTGTTAAATGGAATTGTGTAATTTTGTTATGATAAAATATGTCGCGAATTTATTCGATTCGCATTAGAAATCAGTATGTAAAGTATGATTATTCTTAATTAATAAAAATATTATCAATTGATGGAGTTAGCTAAAGTAATACGAAGGATGATAGGATATCGAAAGTGACCCTGTCATAGGTATAACACATACACTGTTAACCCTTTACTTTTTCTTCTTCTTATTCTTCTCCTTATTCTTCGTAAAGGAAGGTTTCTCCTCTATCGAGATTATGTAATGCTACTCGTAGAGGACCGTCTTATGTATTATTTATTATACGATAAAAGTGTGTGTTCGTCGTTCGATCAACCACAAATTGGACAAATCGTCGATACATTTCAAACGTGTCTCCCTCCCACTTGACTTCATCTTTTCGAATATCTTCACTTTTCTTTTCTTTTCTTTTATTCATAGCCATTGAAATCTTCCGTAATTCTTTAACAATATTTTCAATAATAATTTAACACCATATTCCACGTGTGTTTTTCCTATCTACATTAAATAATATTAATTATATTATAAGTTTGAAATATAATCAAACATTTTCCAATCTGAACATACGTACTTGCAAACACGCGTACGTGTATAGGATGGAAATAGTTGGTAGTTAGGTATGTAGCTATAGATAATGTTGGATATTTGAAAAAGGTTCTTTCTCCTGTAGGATTTATACTTTAGATTGAAAATAATAAAAAAAAAGTCGATCGTTTGATCATTTCATTGATACCCACATTAAGTAATATTAATTATATTATAAGTTTGAAATAATCAAACATTTTCCAATCTGAACATATGTACTTGCAAACACGCGTACGTGTATAGGATGGAAATAGTTGGTAGTTAGGTATGTAGGTATAGATAATGTTGGGTATTTGAAAAAGGTTCTTCCTACGGTAGGGTACTACTCAGAGGGCTTAGGCAAGAGGGCGCCGAGAGGAAAAGAGAAAGAGAGAGAAAGAAAGAGAGAGAGAGAGAGTCGGCCAGCTAGCTAGGCCTGGGCATCGCATTTACATAACGACTTTTTTGGCTAAGGGTGGCCGCGTTTTTGTCCTTCCAGAAGGATCTCGCGCGCGCGCGCGCGCGGATACTCTGCCCCCCTCACTCTCTCTCTTTCTCCCCCGACGTCTCATCTACTTTTTCTTCATCTTCTCATGGTTAGATAGACTGAGACACAGGTATAAAAGTGAATCGTTCCGTCGGTAACGTTCTCGCACGAGGCACGCATCGCCTCCGACGATGACGATGACGATGACGATGAGGACGAGGACGAGGACGAGGACGACGATGAAGAAAAAGCTGATCCCTTCTTCTTCTTCTTCTTAGTTGGCCTCCCTGGGAACGATACGCGCTCGCGAGAACCGCTTTTCGAGAAGAACAACAAGAAAGTCAAATCGTTTCTTTCCAAAGGGAACGTTCCTCAAACGCGAACGACCAACCAGATATCCTCTCCTGGCGTACTGTCTTGGAATTTCGAATACCATGCCAACCAACTACATTCTATCTCTTTCTCTTTCTCTTGCATACACACACGTATAAAATTATTGATGCCAATAAGTAACCGATAAAAATTGTCAGCACGAGTTAACCAACGTAAGATGATCACCCCCTGCCTGCTTGTTTGCTTGTTTGCTTGCTGACTGGTAGTATTGTTAATTCGTAGAACTTTGCTTTTTGGTAGACCTATATAAGACTACATTCTCTCTCTTTCACACACAAACAAATATAAAATTATTGATATCAATAAGTAAGAGATAAAAATCGTCAGCAAGTTAACCAAAGTAAAATGATCA